GATGAAAAGCACTCCTAAAAGTATTGAAGGTTACCGGGACAGCCTTTTCAAAAAGCTCCGGGTAAATAGTCGGGTCAGTCTTGCTTTATTTGCAGTACGGTCGGGCATTGTACCGATAGAAAGCGCACCGATTCAATAAGCACTCTTTAAACTTTATGAAGCTAATCTGCCCGGCCGTTGCTGCGCTCCGCCTGTTCCCTGATTTATCAAGCAAAAAAAGATGAGTGTTGACGGATCCTCTTTAACGTTTGTATCGGATGTATATGACTACATAATGATCATATCAGCGCTATCAGCGATTTCCTGCTATTCCGGACTGGATAAAGCTTCGAAGATTATTTGCATGCTGATCTGGTGCGGGGTTGTTACAGAAAGTATCGCATGGCTGGCGGCAGTAAAGTACAAAAATAACATGCCCGTCTATGCGGTTGCAAGTATTGCCGAATTCATCATTATCTGCCTTTATTACAACAGCAACCTTCATTACTATAAACGGCGGCATATTGGCTGGATTGTTGCGGCAGTTGGGGGATCTTTCGGTATCACGAACATCGTAATCTTTCAGCCACTCCATATGGTCAATTCCAACTTTCTGTTCTTTGAATGCCTTGGTATTGTATGCCTTTCTCTGTTTGCTATTTACCAGCGCCTTATGGCAACAGACCTGCGCCTCTTAAAAGAAACACATTTTTGGATCCCTTGCATCCTTTTGGGTTATAAGTGCTCCGCTTTATGGACCTGGGGCTTCTATGATTATTTATTGGCCCGGGTTTCGGAGAAAATGATTTACCTGCACATTGGCCTGTTGCTGGTCAATATACTCACCTATCTATCCTTGATGATCCTTCTTATTCTCTATCCTAAAATGCGCAGAACTCATGTTTAATACAGCAGGAGAAATGATCCCCTTTTTCATAACAGCAACACTGCTGACGGTCATCTTCATTTTTTTCCTGATCGTGTCCCTTGTACGGCTGAAGAACCGCCAGATAAAAAGAGAACATCAGTTGCTTCATGCGCTGATCGGGGAAAAAGAACGAAGCATGCATGCCATTTCAGTAGAGATCCATGATAACATCAATCAAATGCTTAGCCTGGCGCGGATGACTTTAAAGATGATCGATAAATATGCAGTACCGGAGCAGAAAAAGTACATTGAAGAATCCGGAAATATACTGGACAGTGCAATCGGCGACCTGCGCAATATCAGCCATTCCCTGAATGCAGACTACCTCAGAAACAGGGGCCTTTATGAAGCGCTGCAAGAGGACGTCCATTGGCTGAACGAAACAAAAAATATCAGCTGCTTTCTGGAGATTGAGGAGACACCTAAGTCCTTTGACAAGGACACCGAACTGATGATGATCCGGATAGCACAGGAAGCGATCAACAACGTATTGAAGCATGCCAATGCCCAGCAGCTCAGCATCCATCTGAAGTATGGAATTGACGAATTTCAAATGGCAATCAGGGACGACGGATCGGGATTCAACCCGGACTTGCAAAGAGCTGGTGTCGGATTACAAAGCATGAATCAAAGAAGCCGGATTCTCAAGGGTATTATCAACATAACGTCAGCCCCCGGAAGTGGCACCCTGATCTTACTGACCATTCAGGATCCGGTATATGCCTGATCGATTACTTCGTATTTGTCATGCACCAGGATTTTAGGTATGCGCTCGTGCCTGAAACCCGTCACACAATATCTCCTGCTCAATCGAAGGCGCCAAAATAACAAGGTCAACTTTTACCCAAACAGGT